CATATATAGATGGCAATGTCTTAGGAATTATATATGAAGGACTATAGATAGATATATTTATTATTTATATAATTTTGTATATATTTATTATAAAAATGTATATAATTCCAACTAGCTTGCTATATTCCAACTAAAGTTTATTTAAACTAAACAATTATAATAAAATATTTTTGAACTTCTTAATTTTTTATATAAATATTATATATTTATAAAAAAAATTATGTATATTTCTTATAAAAATTATTAAATTTTAGTTATTGTATTATTTATTTTTTTAATTTTTTTTTTTTTAATATATCCATCAAGTGTATCCATTTGCATCCCAGTTTGATTTTTAAGCACATTTCATATTTAAAATTTTCCAATTACCAAATCGCACCTTGTTGTTAAGTAAACATGTCTCATGGTCAAGACACAGCACTGAATATAAGATTTAATTTGCAGATCTTTTTCAAATGAAACACAAACTTTATAATTTTTGAATGTGGATTGAAATTCACTCGATTGTTGGACTGTTTCTTGTGTGATTGCAGAAATTGTAGCCTTTGCACTTTCAAGTTAACGGTTCGGGGGGCGGGCTAGTATCGACTAGCGACTAACGACGACGAGCATAAGAAGGCGACTAATTGTCAGTTTCGGTTCGAAGTCTCTCGGCCGATATTGGCGACGATACCGTCAGAGGCGTCAGCGTCAAAGCGACAACCACAGAAAAAAAATGCTCACTTAATTACAAACAAGCGACAAAAGGGCGCAAAAGACAACGTCAAACCATACACACACACACGCACACACACTCAGAGCAGCTACAGTGACACAAAGTGCCCAACTACTTGGCATACAATCACATGTGTGAGAGACCCTTACAGCAGCGTCTTGTTGCTGTTGCTGTTGTAGACACCCCCCTCACAGCAGCAACCACCACAACCAGCAGCAGCACAGACTGTACAACAGTCAGGCAGGCTGGCTAGCTGGCAGGCAGACAGTCAGTCAGTCAGTCAGTTAGCCAACCAATGACGTTGACGTCTTGCAACCCCCTTGCTCCATTCAGCAACGCTCATTCATACGTAGCAGCAGCAGCAGTGGCAGCAACAGCAACAGCAGCAGCAGCAGCAGCAGTTTTTCAGTAGTTTTTATTTGTCACCCAATATCTTTACAGTTGGACACCAGATACAAGCGAGCCGGTTGCAGCCAGAGCCCAGTGTCTGGGGGCAGAGCGACCATTGATCGTCTGCTGCTTCCTTCGTTCCATTCTTTGTGGTTAAACATGTTTGCCTTTGCCACTGTGACAGTTCATCAAACAGTCTGTCCCGCTCGCACGCACACACTGCTGCTCGCTCGCTCACACTTCAGCCGGGCCAGCAACCCTCTCTCTGGGCTGTGTATCTGGTGTCTTTCTCATTTCTAGCGACCAATGACAATTGTATCTGTGCTTGGGGCGCTCGGCTCGTCTAAAATCCATCGATCGTTGCTCTTTCGCATAGTTACAATCAACCCGACAATTGTGAATTATTTATTGTCATTCGATATTTCGCTTTGTGGTTGTGTTTTCATTACAGAAAACTAATAATAAAAAAAATTATGAAACATTTCACAGCGAGTCGTTGTCATCGCTCGAACCTGGCCTAGGCTTAGCAACAGAATCTTTTGCATTAACTACAGCTTTCCATTTCCCCAATTAACTTCAAATTGGCCTACAAAAGTGAGTCGAAACGACTGCCTAATGCTCGTTCGTAGCTCAAGAGCAGGCAAATCTATCAATTTCTTGTCTACGAGTTCAAATTATCTCTTCATGCAGTAGCTAAACACCCAAACTTTTGTGATGTCAAATTTACGATATTGCAAGGGTCGTGTGAAACGACTGAGCTATACTCGTTCATAGTTCAGTTAGAGCTGGAAAGTAGCTAAAGACAAACATTTTCTGAGTGTTTCCATTGATCCTTAGAGATGTTTGGCATACATATTCATTAAATATCGTAAGATTTACGATATTCAAATATGTTGATCGATATTTACCTAATTTTATCTAATATCTTCATTCTATGTGTTAACATATTTATTCTCTTTATTCAATAACTAAGCCAATTTAGGATTTACGATATTCACAGGGCTCATAAGACACGACTGTGGCTCGTCTTGTTCATAGTTATCTAAAAGCTAGACACAGTTCTAAGAGTTAAAAATTTCTTATAAATTCTTAGAGCAGCTCGCTTCATATCTTCATCAAAAATCTGATCACTAAATATCATAAAATTTATTGTCTTTAAAAGAGCCAAGTGATTGATTAATTTATGAAAAAGTTACATCTGTTAACTTCTTTCAATATATTATGCAATATATGAATCTCTTACAATATTTTATTATTTAATATTAGCTCATATGAAAGATTTACGATATTCAAATAGTTTATCAAGAAATAAATTTTACTTAAATTTTGAATCATTTTTGAAAAGAATATAAATAATTATATGATATATATATATATATATATATATATATATATATATATATATATATATATATATATATATATATATATATTCATTAAATATCAAGCAGCTAGCCAATATACTCGTTTTTCACTGCAGTAAACGTTCATAAAACAGAATTTGCGAATTACTTAAATCAGTTAAGTGTAAAGGCTTTCAGTGATTGCTGGCTATGGGCTATGTGTGTAGCTACATCATATCATTTTACCATATTGGTGGGAATTTTTAAGGTCTACAGCAACGTCGTGTGTGTTAAAAGATGATCAATGTCTGAGCGAATCCTGTTTTTCAGTTTTCACTTGGCAGAGGATATTATTTTGTCATTGAATATGCAACGGATAGCAAGAGTTCAGATCAGATCTATCTGTTTCTATGCATATAATGATAGCAGGTGACCACGTCTTATAGCTATTATACAAAATCGTATAAGCAATTAAGTTATCATGGCTAACTGTAACTGCAGCTCAACTGAACGACATTGAAAGCTTTGAAGAGTATTCAAAGTGCGGCATGCGGAAATGCCTGTTCCTTGCTCTTATACTTGGCTACAAGTGCGATCGGTTTCAACTTGTCCAGGACCTGACCTGAGTCGAGCTTGAGCTCTCGCTGTGAGCCATGTTTTGCTGCCGATTGTCAGAACGCATTAGGCTCAGGAGTACGAGCCTGGTAGCTGACTGTCGGACGGCTGGCTGACTGGCTAACCGGCTAACTGGCTAACTGGGTATCAATAACAATTTTGGCTTGTTTACGATGATTAGAAATGATCGCTTAGGTTTTGCAAGTGTGCTCAGGTGTCAGCTGTGCATACCTGCTCGCGCCCGCCCCTCAGCGGCATTCAACTGTGTTGCTTAGACGCTTAATTAACCACAAAATTCTTGAAAATTATTTGCCCTGACTGTGATTTGTTACATGTATTGTTAAGTAAGTAAACATTGCGAGAGTCGACCTACCACCATCAACGCTGTGTACCTGTTATCACACCAGTCGCATCATTATCAATGGGACTGTGGCACGTGAATGTTTGTTTGCTTAGAGCTCAGCCTCGGTCACTATTTGATTAAAGTCTTTGCGTTCTGCTCGCTCTGGCTGTGGTCCTCTGGACGTCCTGGTGGGCCGCACAATTGTTGCCTCAATGCCTGCCCACCTCGCCTCCTCCCGCCCCCTCCTGCCTTGCAAAGTCAGTCAGGCATTTCGTTTGCGTTTCATTTGCGTCGAGCTCTGTGTATTCTGTATTCTTATTCTCTGTGCGCTCTGTGCGTTTGGGCGGGGCTTCAAAAATCAATGAAATACTTTTCGGGTGGCACTCTTGAGGCTTCCCAAGCGCTGGCTACGCTTTGCCTTTACATTAATGTGTCGGGTAGTCGAAGTCAGTTAACATCTTGAATCGCACAATATTCAACACATTATAATCGAAATGCCAACTCACATTTAGTCTAATTATGTTTACATTTAATGAAATTAATTTATAAATCATTTTATTTTTCAATTTTATTTAGCTGTCCAATCAATAGGCTCTGCGAAATCATGTGTAGCGCACTTAATGTGCTTTAAATTATTTTTGCAACGCTTCATTTCTTTAAGACTTTATTAACTGGAATTGTACATAAGTCTTATATATATATTTATTGGTTTTATAAATATTTTTCTTTTTGTTTATTGTGTATTTATTATTTTGATTTTGGATTTTTTTTATTAAAAAAAAACAATCAGAATAAATAATTTTTTCAATTTTAAAAGAAAAAAAATATAATATTTTACATCAAAATTATTAGTACTTATTAGTATTACAAAAGTAACTTCTTTTATATAAAATAATAAAAGATGTTGGACAATATAATATTTATAAAATAATAAATAATTTTTGATACAACAAATATTTTCTAATTTTTTTTAATTTTTTTTATAAAAATTTTTTTCAAAAAATATTTTATGTTTTTCATAAAAATTTTATTAAAAATTTGATCAAAAATATTTTTTATAAAAATTTTTTAATTATTTTATTTTTTAGTTTTATTTTTTATATATATATAAATCTTAAAATATTATCCTAATTTACTGTATATAATATTAATTACATAAATTCAAGAATTCATTCCCATTTAACATATTAAAATATTTGTATTAAATTCCAAAAACATTGTAAAAATAAACTTTAAAATTAACATAATTTAGAAAATTTTATTTAGTTGCAAACGACTAGCCAAAGCGACGCAAAATGCAGAAAGCGAATATACTCTATTTTTAATTATGAGCACAGAGTGTAGGTAAAGTTACACGGCAACACTAGAGAGAAATAATAAGTTTTTACAATTAATTTTACTAATTTCAGTTTGGTTTCTCTGGCAGAAGTACGAGAATAAACTGAAAAATGATCTATGACTTCGCTTTTAATGAAGTAAAACAAAACTTAAACTGAGAATATGAAGAGTTAGAAATATATGTATAAATATTCGCATATATGTATATAAAGTATATGAAGTATTTTGTTTACTTGAAATATATTTGAAAATGGAAATAAATTTAACAACTGTCAGCCAGTGACTAGTGCCGAGCACGTCATTCCGGCTGGATAAAGTATCGATGTCCGACTGACAGTTGGAGGACGTAGGACGCAGGCCGCAGTAGTTGGCTGACAGCTGGAGAATCGAACCTCGAGTGCGGCTCATAGCCCATTTCTTATTAAAAACCTAAGCCAGCTTATTAAACTGCGACTTATTGCTAACCGACAGGCGACAGTTTGAGCAACTGTGCAGGACATGAGGTCCTGTGCCCTGGCCGCCCCAATGAACGACTTGAATTACAGTCAAAACTGGAACTCCGAAATATGTTTGTGGATACTATGAGAGTACACTTGAGTGAAGCGCGCCAAATTAAAATTGTAAGTTGATACTTTCCAGAGGGTTTCCACGTCCCTTATCAATGGCTAAAGTTCCTGGCAGCGGGCGGGAGCAGGGCAGGGCAGGGCAGGGCAGGGCAGGAGTGGCATCTACCAGCCAATGTAGCAATAAAATGTCTCGTTGTTGGCTACTGTTTTACGTTGTTTATTTTTTATTAGAGAATCACTTCCGCAAACAAATGGGCCGATGACAATTTCGCACAGCGGTCGCTGCAGGGGGTAGACCGATGTATGTCCTTTACAGAGGGGAAATTCTATTCATGGGCAATTATCCTAGTGCCGAGTGGCACGTCCTGCCGCAAAAACCGCAAATGATTATCCTGTAAGCCGTTGAATAAATATTAAATTTCAATTATAGTCGTTAACATATTATTAGCGGGCAATCATTATCATTATCAGCATCTTTGGCGCCGGGCTAATACAGAAGTCACGTGTCAACCAGTCGCCGATAATAATCGCACTGGGACTACCCTCTGCGGTTGAGACAACGAGATGCGCTTGCAATTTTATCAGATTAAGGACCCTCAGCAGCACAAAGTGCAGCGCCGTCCCTGTCCCTTGAGTGTTGAGCGTATCCTTTTTTCGACCGCCCTCAACAGGTGAGAACTGCACGCACATTGTGTGAGAATCTTAATTTTTTTCTGTTTGTTTTTGTGATTCTGCTTTGTGCATATCAAATTTCCAGTTGACGCTGTGATTTGTCGTTTTTATTAATTCTCATGAACTGACATTGTAACTCCTTCGCAAGGAAATCCAATAAATAAAAACAAAAGTTCATATTTAAAAATCAATGCATTAAAGCGCAGCTATGGAACTAGTTCTTGGCCAATACTAGCTCAAATAAATACCACAAATGTTAATAACAGCGTATGACACTTACATTAACAGGCGCAGTACTGTTACTAATAGCAGCGCTGTTAAAAACTGTTTTATATTAAACTTGCTTATGTTAAAATTTTAGTTCGCTTTTGAAACAAAATTTCAATAAAAATTAAATAGTATACACTTAGTTTTATAAAATGTATTTGTTTTTATTTATTTACGTGAAAAACTTAAGCTTATGATATGCTCCCCCAAATTACGTTGTATATAATCAAAATTATTGAAATTTCTTTATGTTTTTTATGAGTTGATTTTAGATCTTGGGATCCTGTGGCGTCAGCTTGACAAGCTTCACTGATTCCTCCCATATTTGACGTGCCTTCTCCATGTCCATAGCGCCAGCATTCAGTGTCGCCTCCTTGCAGTCCATGAAATATTTACCCGAGACGTTGGCCACCTCATCGGATGTGGCCAGATAGATGGTGGTTTGGGCACCCGCCTTGGTTGTCTTGAAGAAACCCTTCGTGATGGCCATCATGGGCAAGTTGAGGGGGAAGGGCACATTGCGCCAAATGCCCGAATCAATCATGCCCGGGTGCAAGAAGTTGACTGTGACATTGGTGCCCTCCAGGCGCTTGGCCAGCTCGCGGGCAAAGTAGATGTTGGCAAACTTCGACACGTAGTACAAGTAGGCAGCCGGGAAGGTGCCAATGGGATTCAGCTTGTTGACATTCACCGAAGCCAGGCGATACAGCTCCGAGGCGACGATAACAATGCGTGCCGGTGCGCTCTTCTTCAGCACATCGATGAGCAAGTGCGTCAGCAAGAAGGGACCGTAATGATTGGTGGCCATGGTCAGCTCGATGCCATCCTCGCTGGTCTGACCGCGGAAGGCCAAGGCCATGCCGGCATTGTGAATGAGTACATCGATCTTTGGCTCAGTCTTAACAATATCAGCCGCAAATTCGCGCACCGATTTCTGTGAGCCCAGATCGAGCTTCTTGACCAGAATTTTGTTGTTATTGGTCTCCTTGACGATCTCATCTAAAGACAGAGTTAACTTATATACATTTATTTAACTTGGCTTATGCATGTGTATACCCTTGACGGCATTAGCTGTTTCCAGGTTTCTGCATGCCATGATGATCCTGGCGCCACGTCCTGCCAGATCCTTTGCGGTCTCCTTGCCAATGCCGCTGTTGGCGCCGGTGATGATAACAGTTTTTCCCTCCATTTTAGTCTAAAATATATATATGAAGTATATTAGTAACACAGTTACTGTTAGTGGTTGGGCAGTTTAATAGACGTTACCGGATAATAGCCTATTCTAATTAAAGTGTGTAGTTAGTATAATGACAATGTTCTAGTCGAAACTATACGAATCTCAGTGTTTTTCCGGCATGGTCATCAGCGGCGTGTTTAATTGCCGACCTCCGTGGAAACTCATAAAAAGCCCAGCGCTTCGTTTTTCTAATTTTAAAGGTAAGCGATCTCTCGTCGAGTGTAATACAAATACCGTAATAGAGTCGGCTCCACTAGCAACATTCAGCTTACAAAAGCTAATTAAGTCTACGTCACGGCTTGGCGAACTATTCGAGAGACTAAAAGTACTGCCTATAAAGTTCTGTATATATGTTATTTGAGTCTAAGAGATTATATAGAAATTTACCTCTAGGCGCTTTATACATAATATAATGGACAAACTAGACATGGATTTGGTGCATCAAAGCTGATGTAGTGATTAGTGTCAAGACAAAAAAACTTTTTATACTAAAACTCATTAGTTGAGCGGCTGTTAGTTCAATGATCTTAAGATTTTGTTCTTAGAATAGGAATATTAAGGAATAAACAAAAAGCTCTTGACAGCTGTATGATATATAGAAATGCTCTGGAAAAATACCGAAATAATAATTTTAAAAAAAGTTTTAAACTTATAATTTGGAGTTTCTATTAATATTATTTATTTATATTCTTATAACTGCCCAATTCTATCTGATCTTCACGGTAAGATCACCTCTAAACTGTCAAAACAAAAAGTCGTTACCTAGCAATTGATGTTTACTGAAGTCATTCATTCATTCAAGAAAAGTGATCTTTAGTTAGTAACAATTACAGACTTATAAAAAGCTTCGGCTAGGCTAATTAAGTTTCAAGGTATAGCCTAGTTGGTTAAAGATCACGATCTCTATAGTTGTACAGCTAAGCAATTGACGGAAGTTCGATTTTGGATAGATATTTAATTGGGGAAGAGTCTAGTGAGCTGGCTGTGTGTTTACCTCAGTGAAACAACGTCCCGCCGTAATGCGTAAATAGAATCGAATGCTCAGCAAGGTGGCCAGAAAAGCCGCTGTGAGTGTCACGATGCATATATCGCGGTAATAATGATCGCTTGGCAACCAGGCCAAGACGAAACCCATTCCTATAAATGATATTGTGAACAGTATTACGTATATTATATATGTTAATGTATATGTGTATGCAAATTAGTTTATATAATACAATGATTCCATTCGATTTCGTCTCTCAAATTCGAATTTCGAAACACGTTTGGCCATTTAACCAGCTCAAGATCGAACCAACAGCAACAAAGGCAACGAAAGAGGAAATTTAGACTTGGTCAATTTTACACTTGCCAAACGAAATCATTAACAAAAATGCATAAAATGAACATAATAAATTAAAAATCAATATAATATATTGGAAATTTTATACTTTCACTTTTCATATAAGCCCGATAAATAATTATGAAACGGATTTTTGAAGCGCTCGTCGAGGCCAAAGCAAAGCAAAGTTCATTGCCGTTACACAGGTAGGCAAAAGAAAGCCACAAATTTGTAGCTGTTGCTGTTGTTGTTGTAGTTGTTGTTATTGTTGTTTCCTCTTCTCTGTCTCTTCTTTTTTCACTGTCCACGTCACTAAAAAAAGTTGTCTGACTTGGGTACGTTTGGTTAACTGGTTACGCTTCTATGCTTCCCTGACTGCAACTTCTTCGAGCTAGAATTGACCCGATTTTGTTTGCTGCCCGTTTTTGGCAACAAAAATGCTATAAAAACTGCTTAGTCAGCTACTCACCTGTCTGATTTATATATGTAAATATATATATATTATATTATTGCAAACGTTGTAGGTTTGTACTTTGAACTAGCTGTTGAATTATTGCCAGATCGAAAACTCGACTCAATCACAACCTTCGCCTTGAACGCTTACTCTGCGACTGGCTGAAGAGACTCACGGCTGAAAGCGTCTCGCGATCGAAGCTGTGCGCATTGCTATTGTCAAATAGCCGCAATAGTTTGTATTTATAGATATGTCTTGTTGTTGTTGTTGCTGCTGCTGGCCGGCAAAACAAGTTGAAGCTGAGCTTGAAGCTGTCGTCAAAGAGAGCCCCGAGAGAGTAGAGCGTAAGAGAGAGATAGAGCGTCTGCTTCGTTGACTTTTCTTTGCGCTGGTCTTTCGCTAGCTGTTGCATAGAGCATAAGACGGATAGAGCGAGAGAGAAAGTGTCGCTTGGGAAAGAAACTTTTCTAAAGCTCTGTGATTGTATGTTAAATGTATAGAGCGAAAGCTTATAAGCTCTCTTATATAATAATTAATTATTAAAGTATTTAAGCTAGCTTATGACATTTACTACCATTGCAATGTTTTGCATGCATATTTTACTTCTAAGAAATTTATTTATAAATTGAAATTAGGTGTTTTAACAGTGAATGCACCAAATAAAAATTTTTAACTATTTACAATAATAGATACATATTAAAAAGTTCTTTTTAAAAGTTCTTTTTGATAATTTTAAATTTAATTTAATTTAATTTAATTTAACAATATCGAAAAATTTGATCAAAAATAATATATATTTTTCAATATTTTTATTAAATATTTCAATTATTTTTCAGTGCATTCTTACAGAATTCATTATAATATTTTTTTTTAATTGAAACAAAATATAAAAAAAAATAAAATAAAAACTTTATACATTTAAATATATTTTTCTTGATAGAAAAGCAAAAACTAATTAGCTTCGTATTATTTTTATAAATAATAGAATAATTTGAAGTTGTTTATAAAATAATATTGTACGTAGGTCGGCTCTGAAATATTTCCTACATCAATTTGAATATGAAACAAAATTGACGGAAATGTAAAATTTAATTTATTTAAATTATTATATAATTTTTATTAGAATGGAAACTGTTCAGACCAACCTCGTATTGTATATACATACATATTTACATCAAGTTTCGCAGATTTTTTCAAGCAGAAATCTTATTCCAAGCTATGAGAATATATTTCATTTGTCTATGGCGTTCTCGACTCGCACGGAGGAGGTACGTGCGTGGGCTGGTTCGCTGTCCAGATGCTTCGCCAGAGTGTTGTACCACTCGTTCATATGCCGCGAGATAATGCTCATGAACTTGGATACCCTGGACTTTACGGTGGTCACAATGTTGTCGGACAGTGTGATCTTGCGACAGCTTGAGCCTTGCGCTTTGCTTGGGCTTGGGCTGATCTTCATGATTTTGGCCTCGGGCTGCTCTGGTTCGCTGGCAGGCGTCACCGTGGGCAGGTCCACTTTGTACTCGTAGACTGAATAACGACCCAGGGGCAGCAGCTCCTGCTGATCGTCCTTGTGTATGATGTTCGAGCTCAGAGCCGCGTCAGCATAGTTGAGCGGCTGGGCCAGGGCACGACGGTGTCTAAATGTTGGCATGTCCCACCAGGAGGTGATGCTCTCTTCGGCAAGCTTCTTCAGTCGCTTCGGCGCAGGCACAGGTCTGGCCTTGGCACTAAAGTAATCCTCTTCATTGTCATTGGCTGGCAGCGGCTTGGCCGCCTTCCGTGGCTCAACTTCCCTCTCGTCGTCGTCTGACTGCTCTCTCAAGTGCTCATCGCCCATGGGAAACTGCTGCTCGTGCTCATTGTGCTCATGGATATGGCTGAGGAAGTGCTTGCCAAGCTCGCGCTGCGCCTGCAGAAAGTCGGTGGCGGCATTTCCGGTCTTCGCTGAACGCTTTCTGTTGCTATCACCCTCCACACTGTCCACATCCGGCTCCGGTTCCTCCACTTGCTTGCTCTGGTTGTTGCCTTGACTCTTGCTCACGGTGCCCTTGTTGGAGAAGGGCTCGGGAAAGAGCAACGAGTTCAAGGTGGCGCCCAGATTCAAGCGTTTAGTCTGCTTGGGCACCGGGGCTGGCAGAGCCTCGAAGAACTCCGTGGGCAGTAGACGCAGCTTTTGACGCTCCTGAGTTTTGGACGCTTCGGGCACATCCTCTATTTCCTCCTCTTCCCGAGAACGTTGCAAAATCTTCAACTGCTTGGACTTGGAAGGCCTGCGCTTCTTGTATCTGATGGGCTCGGGTTCGGGTTGCATTTCGCTCTCCTCGCCGTCGGGAGTCTCAATGTGCTTCAGATGGACGTCGCCCTCGGGCAGGCGGGTGTATGGCGGTGGTTCGGGCTGTTCGCCCATCTTCTTGAAGAACTCCTCCTCATCGAATTCGGCCAGATCGAAGAGTGGCTTCACCTTGCGCTCCGGCTTCCGTATCTCGGTTATCTTCTTGGTCACCGTCGTCTTCTTGCCTTGCCGATTGTAGAAGAAGGGCCCCGCGTAGTCGTTTGAACTACGCCTGCTGCGACGATGGCGCAGTGCATCCCTGCTCTGTTCCATAACATTTCTCAGCCAGTTGAGTGCCTCGCAGGGACGCACAGCTTGCGCCTTCGGTTGCACTTCAATTTTCACGTGACGCTTGACGGGAGCAACTGCTGCAGGCTTCTGCAGCGGCAGGCGATTGAACGGTTGCAACAGTCGGCCCAGCCACGTGTCCGGCACCTCCAGTTCCGGGTTATCCAGCACAAAGCGTCGCGGGCGATTGAGCGAGCTCTGCAACGAGCCACGCGAGACGGCCGTCTCCTCGATCAGGCGCTGCAGCAGGCGATCGGCGGAGCTGTAGCCATCGGCATGTCGACTGTCGGTTGAGCTCTCGGCGCTGACACTGTCTGCTTCGATTTCGGAGTACTGGCAGTGCTCCAGATTGACGCTGGGCAGCACCCAGAAGCCCACCGACATGCTGGGCGTGATCAGTTGCAGTTTCTTGCTGGAGTCCTTCGAAGTGACCTGCGGACGCAGCGTGGAGTTTAAGGAGAGCTTCACATTGTTCAGGCGCATCTGTCCCTTGTCCGAAGTGAGCACATATTGCCAGATGTCGCTGTTCGACAGACGACTCGTGCTACGCACGGTAATCGTGGTGGGCTGCTCCTCCGTATTGACCACCATGAAGGCCAATCCTCCAGAGACAGCATTGGCGCAATGCGTGTAGAGCTTGTTGGTGGGCGCAAAGACATTCAAGGGACGCGCCGGAAACACTCGAGAGCCCATCACCTTCTTAAAGATCGCCGTGACATAGTAGCTAAAGTTGGGTCGTTCGAAATCCTCAAGGGACATGCGCTTAAAGACCACATCGAAGCCGCCGCTGGCCGCATCGCCCAGGGTCTGGGCCCAGCGCAAGGCGTCCGTGGTCTCATCGCCCAGCAAACGATTGTTTATAGACTCCGGTCCCTTGCGCTCGTCCGGCAGCGTTAGCCACAGCGGAACCCGCTGTTGCTGCAGAATTTTCAGGGCCGGATCGCTGTTATAAATGTAGCTTCCCAGGCTGCTGGTGGGCAGCATGTTGGCGGGTCTGTTGATGCATAGGAAATAGGTGTAATGCGACAATTGTTGACACTCCTACGGTACTCACTGCGTCCAGCCGAAGGCGGCATTCACATCCTTCGACATGTCCACGTATTTGCGCGTCTCCTCAGCACAGCTGCCGGCTGAAATGTCGGCGCCCATGACACGCCAGCTGTCCACATAGGGATTAAACGTATCCGTCATCAGCTTGAGTGTGTTCAGCTCCTGCACGTAGTCCTTGGCGCGCGACGTGCCAAAGTCTGTGCCCAGCTGCCAGATGCAGTCCGTTATGCCCACCATATAGGAGGTGTTCAGGATCTTCAGCGTGTGCATCGAGTCCCATTCGTCGGGCGCATAGGGCACGGGTATAATCATGGTCCAGTTGACAGCGCTGAACAGTTAGAGCAAGTAAATGGAAGCATCAACACCACAGTCAGCCCGTCAAGTGACTTACCGTGTCCAGCGATTGAAGCCCTTCCATATGATCTTGGTGGGATTCCGTAGACGCTGCTTCACATTGCTGGCAAAGTAAAAGTCGCCCACGAACTTCACATAGGCATCGCCCAGCAGAGCAGCCATGCAGGTGACAGCCTTGCGATTCTTGCCATCCAGCGCATCGTACAGATCCTCCGGACGAACCGCAAAACTAATGAACTTCTCGCTGATATCGTTGAACGGACGATTCACGTGCAGCTGCACTAGGGTCTCCGCCTGGCACACGGCCAGCAGAGCGAATAACGATAGCCACAACATCTTTTGTGTGGAGTAGATGACTTCACCGTAGCTCAATGTCTAAACAACTGACGCAACGTTGGCCAAGGGGAGAAACTAATAAGCTGCGCCGCCTAGAGCTTTGAGTTCCAGAGTGCTTCAGTTCCATGGAAATCTGCTGCGATTGGCAAGAATTTTTCGCTGAGCGCTGCCCTCAATGCAATGACCTTTTTAACGCTTTCGACGGCAATCACGTCTCGTATGTGGGCCAACCAGCAAGACCAACAAGAACAAGAACAAGAACGAGAGTATTAAAAATAAAACCAAACACCCTCGTCAGTTTGGTATGCTATTCAATTTATTAATGGGGGTAACCCACTAAGATTACATAAAACGCCTCTAGCCCTCGTCTTCTTCTGTCAGCATGGCCTTGAAGCTCAGCGGCTGGAACTCGTAGCCAGAGCCGGTGTAGAATTTGCTCATAAACTCGACCCAGTGCAGACGCAGTGTGTGCAGAAAGGCGGACAGACCCTCCATCATGACCATGATGGCAATGGTGAAGAACACCCAAACGGCAAAGATTAGGAAGACGGCGATGCAGCCAATCCAGCCGCCCATCTGCAGAGCCTCCGACAGCACCATCGTCCACAAGACCTCGGACAGCTCTACAAGTGTTCCAATGTAAACAAAATTCCTAGGAAATCAGTCGCACAGCAACTTACCCGCATGAGCCAAGGACAAAGCCCAGAGACGCAGATACGAGGCTGTATGGGAGATGGTACTCAGAATATACTCAACAGTGTGTATGGCCTGATGTATCCAGATTTCGCTCATCGGCTCCTCCTCCTCCTCGTCATGCTCCTCCTTGCCACCATGTGCCAGCTTGCCATGTGGCTCCAGCTCTGTTATGATCACCTCCTTGCCAGAGATTTCGATGGTCTCCATGATAGTGTCGCCCGTATATTCAAACTTGTCGCTCTACAAAAGCAAGCTCTATAGAAGCGCATCGAGATTCCTTTTAGTATGACTTACCGAATACTTGCGCTTGATTATCGTCCAAACGGGCACACCCAACAGAATCCAGGGTATGCATATGATGGCCACAACAAACAATATCGTCTCCAGCTCCCTTTGGACTGGGAACATGGTGGCCATGCAGCCCGCTGCCGGCACCTCGGTCTTCATCAGGATCATGTCGATGAACATGATCAGTACGGAAGGTGCACAGCTCGGCGAGTTGGCGACATCCTTGCTGCTGGGCGAATACTGAATCCACTTGTAGAACATCATGAATACCATGTAGCCGAACAGCATTAGCAGGAAGACCACTTGCGGCACGAATTGCAGGAAAATGTACGAATATTTCTTCTTATACACGAAGTTCTCCACCGAAAGGCAGACGCCGAAGATCATGTGCAGCACGCCAAATATGATGGAGAGCTTCATCTTGTAGGTGTTCAGGAAGATGATCTTATTGGTGGCCGATTGCCAAATGGGATCAATGCCAAAGGGATAGGTGCCGCGTTGGTCCGTCGTCGGATTCAGCTGCAGATCGGGATTCGTGAGCACCGTCGTCCTATTGTACTGCAGGACCCAGTGCGTGCCGAACACATTGAACGACTTGGAGAAGCAATCGTTGTACATGAAGCCCGTGTAAACGGCAAACATGCCCATCAGCATTATGATGTAGCGACCACCGAATAGAATCTTCCAGATCTCACCAGCGCGCTGCTTGCAGAGCCGTTTCTCGTCAACCACCATCCAGAGGCCAAGCAGAAAGACCAAAAACCCGTGGCCCATGTCGCCGAACATGACGGCAAACAGGAACGGAAACGTGATGCACGTATAGAGACCGGGATTCACCTCACGATACTCCGCCACGCCATAGGCATCGATCAGCACCTGGAAGCCGTAGGTGAACTTATTGGTGCGGAAATAGGTGGGCGGCTCCTTCTTCGTCTCGAGTATATTGAATATTGTGGGCACCGTGCTGCCCAAGGCCAGCGATGCCTCCGACAGCACAGTCTCCACCTCCTCGAGCTCACGCTGCGGCAGCCAGCACTCGCCGATCAGGCACTTGCTGCCCAGGTCCACATTGAACATGTTCAGCGTATGATAGATGGCCTTCATTTTCTTGATCATGGCCGTCCAGTTGGGCAGCTGCTTCTTGATGGCCTTCAGCACACAGGAGCGATGATCCTCCGTCTGGCTGATGATGATCTTCAGATCGTCGAGGCGTACACGCACGCTCTTAATCATGTCCATGCGCTCCTGATGCGAACTGGGACACGGGTACATGGTGGCATGGAAGCCGGTGCACACCTTGCGTATGCGCCCGTGCAGCTGATCGCCCTGAAAGAAGACGACGAAGATGGTCTTATGGACCAGGTCGCCCGTCTTAGGATCCTTGACGGGCGACTCCATATCGCAGCTGCGCACCAGAACATTGCCACGCGAGATGCGCCACAGCATCCTCTCAAAGCCGAACTGTAAAGATTTATGTCTCAATTAAATAAAAGTAAACTGAGAACGGACTCATCCTGCGCACCATTCGCTCTCTGCGTATGACGCCAGCCACAAAGCCCAAGCTGCCGTCGCACTTCTCCGGATCCAAGTGCGTGCCACGCTTATTCACATCGAAGTTGTGCGACTCCTGGTTGGAGAAGAACGAATCCGTTCTCTCCAGCACCTCAATCATTTCGGTCAGCTCCAGAAAGTTGGTCTGCAAACGCAGATTGTTCGCAGATAGCTCGATGATCTCTGTCTCCGTCTTCTCCAGCAGCGATTCCAGCTCAATGATCTCCTTGGGCTTGGGTGCGGGCGGAAAGTCTTCGATCAGATCAACCACCTTCAGACCATCCTTGGCCAACTCTGCTGTCGCATAGCGTATCTTCCGCTCCAACTCATCGCAGCGACGAACCTCGTTGACGAACTTGCGCTGTGACGCCGTGACGCCCTCGTTCATCTGCAGGCGCAGCACAATTACAATTACATCATCATCATCATAGCTTCACACTTACATCACGGAACTGCACACAGCCCATCTCGCCCAGCTGCGCAATGGTCTCATAGGCGGCCTCTGGCTGCAGAAACATCTGCCCCAAGGACATCTTCTCGCTACGGAATATGCTGTCCTGCGGGCCAGAGCCGCACAGCAATTCCTTAAATTTGGTGCACATTTTCAATTCTTTCTCGGACAGGGACACCTCCGCGCACTTCAAAGACGGCAGGTGGACTGATCGTCGTGGTCAAGTGACTGCTACAACGAAGCTTTGGACACACAGCTGGACACTAATTATGTACAACTTTCCAGGCTTATCTGGCGGCCACATGCTCTGGATAAACTATTCCACAAGGTGACCAGAGCTGCCCGATGCATATTTGAGCCATCTATCAATATGACGGCAGAGTCATGGCCCCTTATCTGTCTAAAGTTTGATATTGTTGCTTACCTAGGCATTAAAAACTAATTGGAACCCAATCAGAAACCAATTTGCAGTGAGTTTTTAGAGACATAATTCGCTTTGGCATTTCAGTTGTGAAACGTTTGTCAGTGAAAGAAGTCGACAGATAGCTGAAGAATAATAAGTTCATAATATGAAAAGCTGATGTAAATACAAACAGCTTAAAAATTATGTGTTTAGTATTTTCAACTATGCTGATAGCAAAAGGTTTGCCTGAAAAGCAACATTTATGGTAAGTTGACAAAAATGTCATATTCATACGTAAATATGGATGTACAGGCATACATACATGCATGCATATATACATATGTATGTTCAGACACATACATATAAGCACAGATATGTGCACTTTTTTCTATACTTACACATAGAGCGTTGTTCATAAAAATAGTAGTGCGACTTAGCTCTAAATGTTGTACAATAAAATTTAGAGTTATTTAGAAAATTTTTAAACAATTAAAATTTTTAAAAAATTCAAATTTTAGTACAGTTTCAAATTTTTAAACAATTAAAGCAAAACAAAAAAATATTCAGATTAACATATTTTTTCTTATTAATTAAATTTTTTTTCTTATTAATTAAATTTTTTTTGTTATAAGCTTAGGAACATTTTCATTTATATATACATACATATATACATATACATATATATTCATACGTATATGCATACTTATGTACATATCTATATATACTTACTGTGTCTTCTATATCTTTAATATGTCCAATGCGAGTCAAGTACTTCCTTGGGCGTAAAGCTTACAACTGCTCTGAACGAGCTCTCCTCTCAGACTGACCATGCTTCAGACTGACATTTCCACAGATCATGTGTCTAACTGCACACACACTCATTGATACACAACTTCTCTCAGTTCAACTCTTTGTGCTGCCTAAAATATATATATGCTTATGCATGCACTTGTGTGTATGTTTTGGGAAGGAATTATTAGGAATTTATAATGCTTGGTATCAACATGTAAACATTGCCTTGGCTGAGTTCCTTTCCCTGCGCTACATGCACATGTATATGCATAAACACCTACATATTTGCATACATATATCCATAACGTTTATCATATTGCAATCAACTGCTATCAAATGTAACTATAACTGAAAGCTTACAGTAAGGCAACAATGCACACTTTCAAGCACACATAATAAACACCTATGCATACATACATACATTGCATACATTGTATGTACATCAATGCATAATATTAATACATATATAAAATTTATAAATATGTCAAGACTAGTTACCCTGTATGTTATAGATAAACAGTAGCAATTGCTTTTCTCTTCTTGCTTTATTATTATCAAATTAGTTAACTAAATGATTAAAATTTATAATAAGGATATCGCAAGGCTCACAAATATCATCAAGATAAATTTTAGACAGACATTAACTGAACTGGTTGTTTCATTAATAAATTTGTTTAACAACGAATATCAAATTATTGCTTAAGCGGTTTTTTCTCTGAGAATACATAACAAAAAACTTTTGAAAACGGATGGAATACATAAAATGAGGAAATGTGGGAAGAGTACCACAATACTGACAGTATTGAGAGAACAAAAAATATCAAACAAAACAAAATAATATATATATATATGATATTCATATAGTTGTGGCTATTGCTGGGGCTCGATTACTCCTCCTCTTCGCCATCAATGATCGCCTTGAAGCTGAAGGGCTGGAAGGCGTAGCCCAAGCCTTCGTAGAATTTGCTCATGAACTCCACCCAGTGCAGACGCAGGGTATGCAGGAAAGCAGACAAGCCTTCCATCATAACCAAAATGGCCAAAGTGAACAAGCACCAGGCGCCGAAGATGATGAACAAGCCAATGGCACCGGTATAGGGTGGCATTTTAAGACCCATCGACAGCACCATGTTCCACAGCACCTCAGACAGTTCTAAAAGGAATACAGACGAGAATCAATACTAAATGCCAGCTGAAGATTTGTTGCCACTTACGAGCATGGGCCAAGGACAGAGCCCAGAGACGCAGATAGGAGGCCGTGTGCGAGATGGTACTGAGCACATATTCGATAGTGTGAATGGCTTGATGAATGTAGATTTCGCTCATGGGCTCGTCGTCGTGACCGTGCGCACCGCCAGCGCTCTCAGTGCCGGTTGAGCCAGTGGGCAATGGTGTCTCGCCCTCGGCCAGTTCCATGTTGCCAGTCAGCTCGCCATTGTGCTTGACCTGAAAGAGAAATCAATCTCAATAACCTCTTGGAACTTCATGCCGCACATCGCTCCACTTACATGCGACACGTTTTTGCTGCGAGTCATTTTGATGTACAGCGGCTTGCCGAGCAGCATCCATGGCACGCAAATGAGACCAACGACGACAAAAAGCTTCTGCACATCGGGCTGAGACTCAAACATGAACTCTTTACAACCATTGAGTGGCGCAGTGTTTTTGAACAACATCATGTTGATGAACATGATCAGCACGGATGGAGCGCAGCCAGGTGTCTCGGGCTGGTTGCTGGTGAATCCGTTGTACTTGAACCACTTGAAGAACCTGCAAGTAATTTAAATATATTAGCATATATTGCATGTACGCTTAAGTACAGTTATACAATTGACTTACATCATGAAGCACATGTAACCGAAAAGCAGCATCAGGAACAAAATTTGAGGCACGAACTCCAGCAAGATGGAGGAATAACGCTTGAAATGCACAAAGTTGAAAACGGACATGCTGACGCCAAAGATCATGTGCAGTACACCGATGATAATGGACAACTTCATCTTGAAGCTGTTGAGAAAGATGATCTTGTTGTCGGCCAGCTGCCAAATGGGATCCAGGCCCAAGGGATAGACACCCTTAGCGGAGGTGTTCGGTGACATCTGTAGATGTGGATTGGTCAGTACCGTCGATGTATTGTAGTTATTCACCCAATTCGAGCCGAACAAATTCATAGACTTGGAGAATATATCGTTGTAGATGATGCCGGTGTAGCAAGAGAATAGACCCATGAGCAGAATGATATAGCGACCGCCAAAGAAGATGTTCCAGATTTCGCCGCCATTCTTGATGCGGCTCAACTTATTCTCGCTGAGCACCATCCAGGCGCCGAAGAGCAATAGGATCAGGCCGTGTCCCAAATCGCCAAACATCACAGCGAAAAGGAAGGGGAATGTAATGCAAGTGTACAGAGCCGGATTGCACTCGCGGTACGAGGCGATGCCATAGGCATCGATCAGGTTCTGGAAGCCGCGCGTGAACTTGTTGGTGCGATTGAAAGTCGGCGGCTGTTCGTTCGTATCGATGACATTGAGGAACGATGGAATGGTGCTGCCCACAGCAGCTGAGCCGTCGGACAGAGCCTTTTGCACAACGTGCAAATCCTTAGTCGGGACCCAGCACTCGCCGATGAGGCACTTCTTGGTCACATCCATGTTGAACAGATTGAGCGTATGATATATGGCCTTCATCTTCTTGACCATAATCGACCACGAGGGCAGATTCTTGGAGACCGTGGCCAGCACACGGCTGCGATGATCCTCGGTCTGGCTAAGCACCAGCTTCAGATCCTCGAGACGAGTGCGCACATTCTTGACCATCTCCTCGCGCTCGTTGTGCGAGCTGGGACAGGGATACAGCGAGGCATGGAAGCCGGTGCACACCTTCTTGATGCGATTCTTCAGCTGCTCGCCCTGGAAGAAGGCCACAAAGACGGTCTTATAGATGGGATGACCAGTGGCTGGATCATTCAGAGGATCATCCAAATCGGAACGCTTAAGGAACACATTGCCACGCGAGATGCGCCACAGCATGCGCTCGAAACCAAACACGCGTTCACGATTAATGACGCCCGCCACGAATCCGAGACGACCACGATGCTGGGTAACAGCCTCGTCGCCACCGCCACGATTGCTCGAGTCCAGATTGAGCACCTCCTGGTCGGAGAAAAATCCCTGGGTATTCTCCAGCACCTTGCGCAGTTCGGTCAGCTCCAAGTAGTTGGATTTCATGTTGACCTCATTCTGGGCCAACTCGATCATTTCGGTTTCGGTCTTCTCCAGATGCGCCTCCAGATCAATGATCTCGCGTGGATTGGGCGCGCGTGGAATATCATCCTGGATATCCGGCAGCGCAATGCCGTCCTTCTTGATCTCCGTTTCGATGTAGCGTATCTTACGCTCCAGCTCGTCGCAACGACGCACCTCCGTCACGAACTTGCGTTGGAAGACATTCACCGTACAGTTTAGCTGTGGAAAGTCAAATGGGGATTAGAGATGAGCTTCATACAAATCGTGCGTCTCACTTACATCGCGAAACTGCACACAGCCGGTTTCACCCAGCTCCGAGACGGAGGTGTACGCGGCCTCTGGTTGTATAAACATCTGGCATAATGCCATTTGCTCACTGCGGAACATATCCCCCATCTTGGCGACGCTTTACGTTCCCTGCAAGAGCAAAAGAGAGAGAGAGTGAGTGAGTGAGTGAGAAAGAGTAATAGGAGGGGGGGGCAGGTTGGTTGGAACATTCCACAGACATGCAATTAAAATTCAAATGGGAAAACAAAAATCAACGGCCAGACGAAGACGTCGTCGTTTGGCAAATGATTTGAATTGTTTTTGTATTTTTGTTTTGGTCTAACCATGATGACAGCCACAGCCAATGGCTTCTTTTGTCTAACATATACTATAGCACATACAGGTGAAACTCAATTGAATGAACTGACCAAGTTTTCACAATGTTTTACTTAAGTCCAGTTAACTGAAATATAATAAAAATATCATAATAGTATATACAGTGACGAATTAAATAATAGCATTGATCTAATCAATTATTCAAAAAAACTTTGGTTTTTAAATTTTTGTTCTAAATTAGTATATGATAACTTTCAAGCTAATTTACGGTCTTGTTTTTGTATAAACTTATTGCAAAGTTACTTAAACACCAACGATTAAGCTGTGATGGTGGTGCTATTATATATTTTGTACGTATATATTTAATATATAAATATATTATATTTATTTTCATCAGGTTAACAAACTGGTTTTTAAACAAGTCGTTAATTGCAAAAATATATTTCTCATTTTTGTCATTTCAATTTATGATCAGAAATAATCTTATTAGGAATCGAAATACCAATAATTTGTCCTGAATTTTTTGAAACACATAATTTTAATAAATTCAGAAATTATTGCCACTGTTAGTTATTGGTGTGTTCACTGTGCTCAGGAACATATGCTGCATGCGCCTGGTCTGCCATTAAAATGTAGTCAAAAGACCGAGGAAACTTTTATTGGTGCTATTTCGAAAGACGAACGGATTTTCTATTTGCTTTGCATAGTACTTGGGTTTTTCCTTTCATTTGTTTATGCTTATTATTTATGCAGAGGTAATTACTTCTGCACATTGCCATGCCCTGTCGAAATGGCTACAATTCATACTTTTACGTTGGCCGGGCTAAATCGTTTCAATCATTACTCAGGCAGGCTAAGTAAATGAACTTCGATTCTCAGAATTAAGCTCTTAGTAAGCTAAGGCATTGTTTGTTATTATATACGTGAATTTCTGTCATGATTAGAAAGGTTCCTGCAAAAGTTCTCTAAAATTAATTAAATCAATCAATCAAAATTTACTTTCCAAATATACATTAATTGGTAAAAATGATAAAAGATTTCTAACAAAAAAAATATATATTTATACATATTTTTATAGTAACTCTTTTACCTAAAATTAATATTAATATTCTTATATATTTTTTTCAGTGTATTGCTTTTATTCTCAACATTAATTTTTTTTTTTGCCTTATGTAACTTTGTGTCTTTTTAACTGACATAATATTAGAAATTTAGCAAAGTCGATTAATTAACTGATAAATGTCTGCTTTATCAGAATGCTACATATTAAAATATGTGCATATACATACATATATAAATAGTTATTTTTGTTAATATATATTAACTGTGACCAGATGAATTAGTCGACACTAACAGATAATGAGTATGATTAATCTTTTTTTGTTTTTTTTTTTTTGGTTTTTTATGGAAATGAAAATGCACTAAGCAACACAGCTGCTGCGCCTGCTGCTGTATTGGCTAAAAACAAAAGCGAAAAAAAAAACAACAAAAACCAAAATGAACTAGAACAAATAAAATGTACAAACAGTCGCGACACGCCAAGGTTCACTGTGACATCATCAGACTCGGGCAGTCAACGACACGGACGACGCGTCGCACATTATCGAACTTTAATGGCCTGGCCAGGAGAATTAGCTTTAGCTTATGTACATATCCACATACACACACACACACACACACACACTCAAACATAAACACTTGCATACATACATAAATATGTTTGTGCATAGCAGAAATGATGATAAATGTGCGCGTATACACGCACACACACACGCACACACACACACATTGAATGCTCGTTAAAAATCTTTTTTTTTGTAGGGCGCCATCTGCCGGGCTTTTGCAATCAACTTATGCTGGCTTCTTGGCTGCCAACCAACAGCATAGTTATAGCTTGTCCACACTATATATAACACTATATATATATATATATATATACACATATATATAAAGATATAGCTATATAATTGTAGCAACAATTCCTCTTTGTAACTGAATTCAAATTACTTTCAATTGGAGCATTTGCACATTTCTTTATCATGCCTGTTGCTCATTGCTGCTGTTGCTTAAGGAATGCCACAAGTATTTCCATACCCTTTCAGAGAGTATAAACACTTTTGTATCAATGAAAATAACAGTTAATGTACATGTGTTACAGTTAATACTAATCGGTAGATAACTGTTCATAAGATATTAAGTTCGGAAACTTTTAGGATTGCTCTTTAAATCATATATTATTTAGTCCAAATAAATAGTAGTCATATGATCCGCTGGCATAGCAACAATCGTTTAAGGAAAAACATTCATTTTTCAAGATATCTGAGTAAATAACAAAATCTTATCAATAATTAAAGTAAAAAGTTTTTTTTTTAAATAAATATATATAATTATATATACATTTATATATACTACAACATATAACGTGTATATTATATTACAATGTTATCTGGAAATATTGGAACAGGCACATAAGAATCATCACCATAAATATGAATGTTATTTTAAACTTCTGATTAGTTCGTGTTTTTTTTTTTGTGCACTGTATAATAATATTTTATCAGAATTTATGAAAGGCTATATTTAAAAATGTTGTTGAAATAATAATTTAGCGCACCCTTTTAATAAGAAATTCAGAGTGGATAACTGTTTTCAACGGAAGTTTCGTCATATGTTGCCTTAATTCCACTTATGAATAGCTGATTAGACTGTACTTTAGCTATATCTATTTGCTTGCCTCAATAATAGTGAGCTTACTAATAAAGTAAAACAATAAGCAAGCATTGCTAAATTATCGCTGAGTTCGGTATGCCTCAAAAGATAAGGTAACCAAACGGAAGCCAACTTATAAAACATCCACTCACTATAAACAATGAACGATGAACATTTAATATTCATTGTAATTAATGTGGAACAGTATAAGGTATATCAATTTATGTATATAACAGTTAAACTAGAACATTGCCATCAATAAAATGAAGGACTCATAAATTCTTAACAATTTCTGTTTCGCGCTCGACATTGCTAATCCATTTACAAAATTTACCGTCATACATACATATACACAAGTACAGCTAGCTCTACTGTATGTAGATTTGCATGAGTGCAACTTTATTTTTTAGCACCGTCAGCAAGTCAGCCACACACAAACACACATACATACACATATATGCAGGCGGGTATCGTTTTTAATTAAGCTTCAATTAATTTGAAACGTTTTCAGGCTAAATTTCAACTTGCCTTGCTAAACACGATATGCGCTTTCAATTCAATACTGATACATACATATGTACAAACATATATACAGATATTGAATGCGAGTTTTTGGTTAACCACACAAAAAATATACAAATAATTTTTTTTTTCCAATTTCTAAACACGCACAACTGTAAACCAGTTCAACTTCAAAACAACTAAACACACCGTTGCCGTCTGTTCAAATGCTCTCGCTCTCGCCGCCTAGCCGTGCCAGGGTCTGATGTTGGTCTGACAGTTAGCGTTTGCTTTTCGCTGGTCATTTTCGTGAGTAAGCCGGACTACGAGCGTGTAATGTGTGGGTGTTAGTAGTTTCTGTCTCTGTTTGCCTTTTGCAATAATACGTACAATATGTAATTGTCAATGTGTTAGTGTGTGTGCGCTTGCTGTCGCGCCCGTACACAAACGCAAGAAACGGGTGAGTCTTAATCACATTTTAACGAAGCAACAGCAATTCGTGCTTCACGCCAATGGCGTTGACGACCCCCATCAAACAACGCCCATGCTAGGCGCAGTTAATATCTCTACGACAACGAAGTTTCGTTAAATTTTTTTTGTGTTTTGTTTGTTTTTCACTCTCATGCACGCTTGCTCTTTTCGTGAGCTCACTTTAGCTTGTGTATGTGCTTGTCAGTGTGTGACGTTTAATTTGGTCATTTTTTACCATTTTTTTCTACTATCTTATGACAGTTATTCGGAGCTATTATTAATGAGGATCAGACGTTTTGCGTTAAAAATTGGCAACATATCATGAATTGTTATGCAAGCGATAAGGGGAGTTGATAAAACCTAAGGAAATGTAAAATATAAAATATTAAAAAGCCTCGTCCAGACATTGATAACCCGACCAAACGTTGCATAAGTGAGGAATATAACTGAAATACCTCGCAGTTAGTTAATACACTTAATAAGTACAATGCTTTAAATATCTGAATCTCTAATCTAAAGATTTTATAGACTTCCCTTGCATAGGCAAATATATGAAAACGATCCGCCGTAGCTGTAATCAAAATGATTGATTGAGGTGCTTGTCAAGTTTTATGATCGGCATATAAATCATAATTCAATTGAATTTGATTATATTCTACTGCTAAGAGCTACTTGATACTTGTTCAAATGAATTTAAGCACGCATGCCAAAGATGTTCTCTGGGAAAAATGCAGGTCACATGATATGGGGATTGCATAAAACTCAGCTCTGTAACGCCACTGGTCACACACACACATATGTATATATATATATACATACTGCTGACTAACGTGCGTGAGAGATACACACAGATACACACAAACAGATACTCGGCACTACTACTGTTAACACTTAGTTACGCTCGCTGTAGACAGGTGGCGCGGCATTTACTTTGACATAAGTCTCATGACAATTCGCAGAGCTGCGCCTACAACTGTGATGAGCGTTGCTCACGTGCAGATAGTGTAATTGTTGAATTTTTAATTAAGCATTTACTATTTAATGTTAACATTCGATTTTATGCACACGCATGATGTCTAGCTTTTTTTGCTTAGCAGATCACCTTGAAGTCACACGCGAATTGATTTATGCTTAGTATATACAATACAATATATACATATGTACTTATTTTGCTGTCTTACGATGTTTTATTTTTTATCTTTGTTTTTTATCTTTGTTTATGGCATGCTTACCTTTGCAGTTTTAAGATTGTTTTTTTATACAAAATATTTAAGATTCCCCAAGCGTACGTGCGTTAAATTTAGAACTTGTTTAGCCCGTAGCGCCTGCCTTTGTATAGGTTATTAAAAACGATCTCGACGCAGCCAGAAGAGCACACGTCTGGTCAACACCAGCGTTCAGTTGCTTGTGATGTTTAGTATTGAGCTGAAGCGAGCATGTAGCCGACAGCAGCGAGCACACACACACTCTCACTCTCTCTCTCTCTCTCTTTCTCTTTCTCTCTCGCTCGGTAACTTTACTTTGAGAAGTATCTCGGTGAGTACGGTTGCGGCCTCCAAGCATGACAAACACATATATACATACGCACACACATGCATACGAGTATTGTCGCATATAAATATGTCTGATCAAGTTTTTTTTCTCTTATCAGAAATCGAAAATACAAAAGTCCAAGCTCTCTCTAGTGATATATGTTTGTATTAATATTATTGTTGTTTGTGTTTGTGTATCTGTGAAATTGCGTATGTTCTACAAAAAAAAACAGGAGACACTATCAATTATAATTAACAACGTCTTAACATAGTAATTCCCAGGGCTCGATAAGCCAGTTGATATTGATTGTGTCAGTCATATAAATCGTTTTTAATATTCCCCCAATGCTAAAATAAATACGAGTCTTAGCAACAAAATACGTTAATTTCAAACATGTACCACACATATTTAAATAAATATACTTATAATTATTATGTACAACTAGGGCTGCTATAGTGAGCAGCTGTTGTGGTGGCTAGTCGATAGCTTTGTTTAGCTAACTGCTCGATATGTTTCTTTGTATACAGCTGTTCAGTTGGAAAAATTTTTTATTTCATTTTGATATTGCTAAGGCCGTAGAATGTCCTACGAAGGCTACACCCAACTGCCTAGCGGCAGTACAGACCACAACCGACGACAGCAACAGGTGATAGCCAACACATATGACGTCCTGCAGCGCACCACAGAAAGCATCCAGCGCTCCAATCAAGTGGCCATCGAAACGGAAAATATGGGTGCCGAGGTATGATTAAAAATGCCAAGCAAAGCAAATATATTAAACAAATATATATAAATCTTCTTGTATGCAGGTACTTGGCGAGCTGGGCGAACAACGTGAATCACTCCTACGCACTACTCGCCGTCTAGAGGATGCCGATCAGGAACTTTCGAAGTCTCGAATCATTTTACGCAAACTGGGCCGTGAAGTTGTTTACAACAGGATCGTTTTAATATTAATTATATTTTTAGAAATAGCCATACTCATTGGCCTGCTGGTCCTAAAGTTTGCCCATCTGTGAGGCGAGTCAGTTTATTCCAAAGCTATATTCGGAGTGGATATGGATTTTTATTAAGTATTTTGTTTTGTCTTATCTAACAATCATGCTAAACCCATGCCTTAGACATATAGAGTTAAGATAATGTAAATCGTATATGGATCGATATTAATAAAAACACAGCTAATCGTTATGGAGGTTATCTGAATCCCTTATCTACACACATTTTACAAATAGTATATAATAGGATAACAATAATTTTATACATATTTATATATGTATAGATGTATATATAACGTGATTATTTGGCATAAAACAAATCGTATGCTAAATGGATAAGAACGTATCTAAAAAAAATAGTTTTTCACATTAGCATAATACTTGATATATAGACGACATTAAAGGTAAATACTCGCGTTTCTATTTGAGATAACCAAATGACACCTAAATGATGTGTTCGAGAGATATTCGCTTTCATAAGAACAATTGAGTAAAAGCGTTTTAATGTTATTATTTAATGTATTTTTTGTCTGCAATGCAGCTCAGCGTTTGAGTAATTTTCAATTATCCTTTGGTAACACTATGGACCAGCCAAATACGCGTCTATCGAAGCCGCAAGAGAACAGATCACAATTCAAAATCGGCTCCTCCGACCAGGCAACCGACGAGACCATACGTCTATGGCCCTGGCGACTGGTGCGTGGCAAGCGCGCCACTCGCTGTCCATTCAAATCGAAGAGACGGATCTGTCGATTGTCGTGGGGTATGGCTATTATACCGCCACTTGAGACAGCCAAGCGATTTACGGATGAATCTGTTCGTATGGTGGCCAGCGCTGAGCGCATATTGCGTAATTCCCACACTTTGATTGTGCGATCATCAGAACCCGAGACGACTTTATCGTTGCGCGCAAAAACACTCGAGGTGACCGTCTCGGTGTGTCCCTGGAAGACGGATACGGCGGGTATCGGATCGCGGAAGTCCCATAAGCGGAAGGTGGTGTCACGTGAAGCCGTCACAACTAAGCGCTGTGTGGGATGTGCAGATACATGGGTAAGCTCGTGATCATGGCCGGTAAGCGGTTGCAGCGGTTGTGCCGTCTCGACATCCCAAAGTATTGCCGTGCGATCCCAACTGCCGGTGATAATCTGATCCATGCTCGAGAGCCAATCCGCAGCAACCACAACTGAAAGATGTCCACCGGGGCCAGTGAACTCGCAGAGTGGTGTACGCAAAGAATCCACACGGTCTCGATCCTCCAGCTGTCCGTCACTATCATCAAGCTCCTCCTCAGACGAGTGTCCCTTTCTAAAAAGGGAAGAGCTAGTTTTTGGTCAAGTTTCTTAAATGGAGAATCTCTTACTTGGGCACTTCCCAGTTGACGGCGGCTTGCCAGATGTGTGCTGTCCCATCGCCACTGCCGGTCAGCACCAGATCCCGACACTGATGGAATTTAATGGAGTTTACGGATCCAGCGTGCCCTTGGTACTGTAGCAGGCAGCGACCACTCTCTATGCCCCAAATGCAAGCGGTGTGATCAGCGGACGCTGTGCCTATAATGGGCTGGCCCACTTTGGCAGCCACCTGCCAAATGCCATCCTTGTGACCGCCAAATTCACGTACCACCGAGCTGACCACAGTCTGTGCTTTAAAGCTGGAGACGATTCGACTGGTCTGGGCTTTGATTTTATTGCTGGCCTTCACCTTGCTGCCACCTGTAGCGCTGCTCAGCTTGGCTTTGAGACTCTTGTGTGTGCTGGAAGCCGCTGCTAGCAAACTGGCACCAATTTCGTCGCCCAACGGTGCGGAGGGTGTAGCAGGTGTGGCCGCCAGTGAGGCGCCTCCACTGCCCGTGGCAACTAGTGCTCCACCCGCTGCAGAACGTTGATCGTACGGTGTCAGTGAATCTTTGGTAACGGCGGTGGCATTTTCCAACTTATCCTGAACTGTAAGGAACAATTGGCAAGCAATTGAATTGGTTTCTTAGCTTTTGCAAAGAAATTCGTATGTATACTCACGACTGAGATTCTCTAAGTAGAGCTGTTCAAATTCCTTTTCGATTTGGGCAAACAGGTAGTGAAGGCGGTTGCGATATGGCGCATCCTCGGGTATTATGGATATATCCTCGGTTAAACTAGTTAGCCGCGTTTTTGCTGTTGCCGTCGATTTCATTTTAATGTTTTTGTTTTGCCTGTATATTTGTTTCTTCACGTTTGCCAGTTTATTTCTGACTTCCGCAACAGAGCGTTTCCCGTCACCAGGTTGCTTGCTTACAATCCAATTAGTGGATAGTTTTAATGATAGCCGTTCGACCTTTATTGATCCAATTCCATATTATATATATACATATATATATATATTTCTGTTGCATGAATATTTTTCTTTAGGTTTTTATGTTTTGCAGTGTTGGAAAACATACAATTGAATATGCAAATCTTTTACAGCACTGTGAACAAAATCAGCTGCATGAAAACATTGATATACAAACAGCTGATTGGCTTAACCGAAATGTGTCCACCTTGTCATATTAAACACCCATTGACCGTCTAATGATATCAAAATTATTATTTAAATTTGTTAGCAATTTGAATATAAGCATTTGTTTTTTTATTTGTAATGTTTATAAGAAATCATATTAGACAGGAAATAAAACGAATTTTCTTGAGTGAGTTTAACATCAGGGCAAGTGAATTTTTGTTGTATTTGTTTAAGCTGTTCAGCTGAGCTATTCACATAAGGGTTAAGATTTGTTTTTATTCATATTACTTGGCCACATCGCTGACGCGGAGCTGACTGACTAACAAATAAACAAAACTTAAAGCTTTTTATTAATTATAACAAATATTAAACAGATTAAAAATGCGCAAAACATGGGTGAAGCGGGAAAATATATATTACAAACCATTCTACAAGGATAAATCGAAAATGTTTTTGCTTCTAATATTTTTGGTTGGAATCTCATTCATTGCCTATCAGGTTGGAAAACGATTTCGTGTTTTTTTTTTGCGCTTTTATTAATATAATAAATTAATAATAGGCCTTCTCGCTGAATCAGTTGCCCAGCGTGCAGCAGCTGCGACGAAAGCATAAAGAAATGATGCAGTCACTTGGTAGCAAACAGCTGGACGATGACTTTGATGGCGGAGGCGGCGTTGCTAGTGGCAAGGATGGCAATCTGGCTGTGCCGGCAACACAAGATGCAGATGCCATCAAGATTATAAGGTATGATTTAGTGTATATATAAATATATATTATATGTGATATTAAATAGTGGCCACGTCTACCGTTTACAGGGGCATTCGTCTCTTCGACTATGATGCATACAAGCCCAATTACAAAGGCAATTTCAAGTGTCTGGATGGCAGCAGGGAGATACCTTTTGACCATCTCAATGACAACTACTGCGACTGTGTTAGTGATGGCAGCGATGAGCCGAGTACAAATGCCTGCTCCAATGGCCGCTTCTATTGCAAATACCAAAAAAGACATATCACGGGGCGTGGCTTAGACGTGTGGGTTTGGGCGTCCCGAGTGAATGATAACGTATGTGATTGCTGCGACGGCAGCGACGAATGGACGACAAATGCCAACTGCCAAAATCATTGTGCGTAGTTTTGCTTGCATTTCGGGTGGATCGGCTTAGCAGAACACCAAAAAAAAAAAAACAAAAACAAAACTAAGCGACACGACAGCTATCTCATTCGCATCTCAAAGATTACTCCATTTAGTAATTAAAAGTGCATCACAAATGATATTTTTTGTAGAATATTTTACGATTAACGTGTAATTAATTTAAAAAGAAACAGAAAGGAAACCAAGCATTACAATTAAGTAGATCGAATAAAAATACGTAATTCATAAAAGCCAAGATTTTGAAAATACTGACTCAAAACTTACCTCTCAGTTTTTCCAATTGCAGATCTTGCCTTCTGGTTACGACCCCCAATAAACGCTGTTTATGCTTAATTTCATTTATTACTAGACACGCTAGAATCAAAAGCCTGTTTTACATAGAACTCTTTTTGTGTTTTTATAATGAAGACATCATTCCATTTGTTTTCTCTTCATTTCCGTTTTAAGACTCGCAACATATTTACTTTACTTTCAAGCCGTACAATTTTACTGACAATTTTGAACTGCAAATTCTAAAAGGTACGAAACTGTTATTTTTTTCTTTTTGTTTTTAATTTTTGTAGAGTATTAGCAAAACTTTTTAAGAAATTTTTTGCAATCCCTTTTTCGTTTTTTTTTTATATAGTTCTTAATTTGGGATTTGATGGCTCTCTGTTTGCTTTCTATATTAAGGAACGTTTTGTAATTTATATATTTATTTCATTTTTTATTTTTATTATTTTTTTTATTTTCAATGAGATGGTCTACTTAGAATTTTGTAGTACAACATTGAACTACGTACACAATACATAGAGCAAAATCGTTTTCTTTTTTGTAATCATACAAAAATCATTAAATAAAGTACAATAAAGGCATTACTATTAAGATAAATTGATTGTGTAAGCCTATATTTTTTAAGGTTGTGGAACTTAAGTTATGCTTACTTAACGCTAAGTAATACTTAATCAGAGTTTTTCTTTTTAATTTTTTTTATTTGTTTTGTTATTGAATATTGTTTGGATACTTGTGGCTCTATGTTTGTGTGAATAAATTTTATTTTTGATATAAATTCCTGTCGATCGAAATCTTTAAATATAATTTAAATGCCTACGCATTTTAAAATAGGTTTTTGGAAGTGGAAAGATTGCATATATAGGGGAAAAGTATAAAAGTAAGAAAGATGTATTATTGCACTGACGAGATTTTCTTCTTTTTTGCTTAAGTCTGATAGTATAAAAATGGGTGAAGAAATTATTTAAAAAAAAAAAAAAAATAAATAAATATTTTTGGACAATACACATAAATTATAGAAAACAAATGTACAATTAGAATCCGTTTCAGCACAACAATTGACGCGACCTTAGCTTTACATAATTGGTATAAAAAGAGAGAAAATTGAGTTGAGGATAACTTAGGCTACACTTAAGCCAAAAAGTAGTTGCATAAAATGTATATGTGTATAGATAGTTTATAATTAGGTGTACAAGTCTAACGGCAAAGCGTATAATACAATTTTTGCAGTTTGCGTTTCGTGCGACATTGATGATGGTTGTGCGAATGATTTGGCTGCTGGTGATGATGGTGATGATGATGATGATGGTGATGGTGATGATGATGTCTGTGAGAGTGTTGATGTGAATGTGCTTGTTGCTGATAGTGTGAGCGTGCTGTAGTGTGTTGCTGTTGTTGCTGCTGCTGCTGCTGTTGTTGTGGTTGCTGCTGCTGTGGTGTATGGCTTTGATGATGATTATTTACAATGCTCGCCGTGCAAGCCGTGGCTGAAGTCGAAACAGCACTGAGAGCCACAGCCGAGGAAATCAGTGCCGCGGCCAAGCGAGAGGATGCCGATGACGAGGCGGCATCCGTTGATAGCAACAGTTGTTGTTGCTGCCGTAGCTGCTGCAGCTGCAATCGCTTAGCAGCGGCGGCGCCCTTGCGCATCGCATGTAAACGCCGCCTATGATGATGTGGATGCAATTGAAGCTGTCACTTTGCCTCATCGCTGGCATCAAGCAGATTGTTGCTACCACTGCTCGAGCCATTGTTGGTGGCCACAATTGGCTGTTCGTGGCCAGGCTGTTGCTGCAGCTGCTGCTGGTTGAGGGAATGGACGTGCTGACAGAATGCCTGCAATACTTCAAAGTGCGTCATCAGATTCGCCGGCTGATTATCGTAGTGCAAGTGTCGTGTAATGGGTGCATTTAAACGTCGCAACATCTCTGTGAACAGCTTCTCCTCCTTGCGTATCCAGGGCCGCCGATCATCCTGCACCTGGTAAGGTGTGAGGTGCACATGTATGTTCATGCCTGAAAATTGAACTTCGATAAATATTGGGACATAGCAAAGTAGAATGATGACATACCCATTCGCGTCAGCGTCTCCAGCAGACTTCGTGATGTGATCCATGTGTTCTTCTGACCGCCATGACCTCCATCCAGCCAATACATGTCCGTTATGCGTGAGAGAAGCCGGCACATGCTGCTGTCATCTGGCGTCAACGTTTTCAGATAATGAAACTCATAGATGAACTGCAAGCAAACGCGCATCAATAAATATGTGAAATGTTTAAGTTGGGGCTTTCGTAGGTTCGACTAGGTTAATAACGTAATAATAATTTGTTAGCGATTTTTACACCAAATGTGACTCACTTGATTGAGCACGACGCAGCCCTTGCTGAAGCCTATCAGCACCAGCTTGGACTTGTCCAAATTTAGATTCTCCCGCCACCACAATGGATTATTCTCTGACGTCGGCGTCGCCGGCCGCGGCTGTTGCGGTTGCGTAGGCAGCGACGGTTGCCGGTCTGCGGTGCAATCATTGCTGCTGTTTGTTGTGTTGTTGTAGTGATCCACATTGTTCATTGGCGTTGACGCTGCCTTTACAACTGTCTGCTGTTGCTGTTGTTGTTGTAGCTGCTGCTGCTGTTGCTGTTGCTGTTGGTTGTTCAACTCTTGATGATTGTTAAGCACAACATCTTTATTGTTGCTATTGTTGACATTGCCAACATTATTAGTAGGTGTGCTCGCTTCCGTGCTACCAGCGGAGACTATGGGAAAGATCACGGCACCATCTGCATCCACTGTAACATTCTCCTGCACCTGCAGTATATCTATGTCCATTTCCTGACTGCTGTCATTCGCCGCTGCCGCCGCCGCCGCCGCTGCTGCTGCTGCTGCTACTGAGGCTGAGCTGGTCTCTGAGTTCACAGTGGCATTTGAGAGCGTCATTGCAGCCGCCGCTGCAGCAGCAGCAACAGCAGCAGCTGCGGCCGCCGCCTGTGCTGCCTGGTCGAGTATCTCGTTCTCGGGTATTGAGATCAGGCGTTGCGATAGATTCTGCAGCAGTCTGTTGAGCAGAATAAAAGATGAATGAGATTAATTAAAAGTTCGATAACAGAAGATATAAATAGACATATTATAAATATTATTTAGAAGAAACTGAATTGCTGAGGTTTAAATTAGTTATATGAAAGAGTTGAGACAATGAAGTGATTAGATTCACAAGAGCAACAGGACTATATAGACGACTCTGAACTGGGTACTTAGTGTATACCGTTGCAATATCGATCTTAACTCGAAATAGGAATGAAAGAGAAGAGTAAGAAATACCAAAACTAACTAATGAAATATCAACTAAGTGCACTTATATAAAGAATCAACATATATCTAAACTATAAGCTGGTATATGTCAACGATCATCCAGTGTTTGTGCGCCACTCACTTTTCTAAATGTTGCAGCGCATGGTTCATGGGCGTATGATCCGGCACACCAGCATTGTTCCCGCGTACGAAATTGTCGAAGCAACTGAAGGTCTTAAATTCCATGCTAAAAGAAAAAAGAAATTAGTTAAGCTAATAAGTTTGGATATTTGGCATACTTACCGAACCGGCCGTATGACTATAATATGGGAGCGCGGAAAGGCTTCACGCAGCAATATCGCAGAGTTCTCCAGATTGTATTTCATGTAGCCGCGACTGTCCCGATTCGTTTCCATGCTCTCCGGAAAGTCCTGCACATCGCCCCCAAAGTAGATAATTGCCTTGGAGTCATCGACATGCTGCGACTGTTGGCGCACAATTGGCGGACAGTAGACAATGTCGTTGGCGCGATTCTGAAAACCGGCCACGGAGAATATACGAAATGGACCGGCCGAAGTGCTTGGCGTGCATAAACGCTCCCCGCTGCTGCCGCCAAGCATGCCCTCGAAGTTTCGTATCCGCTCTTGTAGTTGCAGAAATTGATCAATGGTGAGCTGAGAGGAATGAGAGTCATCAGAGAGCATTTTAAGCGACACTTTGGCACAGCCAGCACAATACACACAGCACACACACACACTCACACACACACACACATACACACACGCACACCTAGTAATAATCATTCTCATAGAAATCTCGAGGATCGCCACAGCAGCCAACGAAACGTAGTCGCGTATCCTCCACACACAGCTTAGCATCCTCTTTCATCTCTTTGAGCTTAACGCGCACCTCCTCCCGCATCAGATTGCGACACATGGCCACCAGACCCATGCCCAACAGCATGTAGATAAAGTTGATGGCCAGCTTGGAGTGTTGATCGGTAATGCGCTGCAGATCGGACACCTCATTGGGATCGGCGGAAATGTCTTCGCGCAGCTTTTGTGTGGCCGCATCCACATCGGCTGCGGTAGTCAGCGAGGCGCCCGGCACAAAGTCACCGAAGCCGATCTTACACAGCGAAGTCATGCAAAAATAGAAGCTATTCAGGAAGCTCCACTTCTCCCAGTTGGCAAACATAATGGTGCCCGTCAGCACGTAGAAGATGATGACCCACAGGCAGGCTGTCGAGGGCACAATGACCTTTTTGCGCAGGGTCAAGGCGCCCAGGCTTCCGTTCTCGAGCGCCTCCATGCGAGCATCATAGTTGCGCTCCTGGGTGCAGTCGTGCATGGAGCGATAGAGAAACTTAAACGAACGCGCCAGCACGCGACCCATATTGAGGAAGTAGAGTATATAGAGGGGTATGCCAAAGGTGGCATAGATGACAGTGAAGCCCTTGCCCCACGGCGTCCGCGGCACCATGTTGCCGTAGCCGATCATTGTGATCACGGATAGGCAGAACATCAAGGCAGCCGGAAAGCTCCAGATTTGTGCCGGACTGCGTCCCACATAGCCGTTCTTAATGATCGCCGCTATTTGCACCTGATAGGCTTGCAGCACGGCATTCGTTTCGTTCACCCAAAGTTGTTTATCAATCAAATTGAGCTCCTCGGTGATGTTCCAGAGCCGTTGCGAGCAATTGAAGCGCATGCTGAGCACCACCTTCGCAGTCTCGTCCACATATTTGCGCTCAATGTTCATAAAGGCCAAAGCGCCGCAGATGGCATAGAAGACGATGAGCGCACCCACGCCCACCTGTGTGCACATGAAGGTAACAAAGTTCCTGCAGCAGCGTTTCACACGTTTGCGCGGCTGATTGCTGGCCGTCGATGAGACCGTAGACGCCTCCACGCCCAGCATCTGGGGGGAGCTGCGTTGAAATTTGCTCGACATGTCTGGCAATTACATAGTTATATAACTCTATGCCGATCAGCAGCAATACTTTTCACTTCTTCGCGCTATGTATATTAAAATCGAGAAACTATTTCGTTTAATGTGCAGTTAATTGGAAATTTGCTCTGGTTATTCGTGGCCGACTGCTTGAAAATCAGCACAAATGCTATAAATAAACCCACGCACTGCCACACAGCATTTGCCGCTAACGAGTCTCTTAACCCAATGGCCAGCTATGTAGATGCGATCGATGCGGCCGCCAAAATTCAACTATTTGCTCCACACACAAAAACAAAAAAACTCAACCAGAATTTCTCTTGGGCAGCAAAATAACAAGCCGCAGCAACAACAACATTTGGCAAGAGCATCGCTAGGGATTCAATAGAATTATTTTGGGATACAGTGAAAGCTGCGCAGACGAACAAATCCCTTGGGGAAACAAGCACAAACTATGCTCAAGCTTTTCGAAACAAAGTTGATCTAGAGGAGGGTTAGTTCAAAAATTGTCAGCTTTAACTTGAAGTCGAAAGATTGAAAAATTTAAATTAAAATTATTTTAATAAAATTTGCAATTCAAATTGATTTAATTTAAAAAAAACAATTTTTTTTGTTTCAACTTTATATCACAAACAATTGAACTACCCTCGTATAGTGTACATTAGATGCAAATCGAAGAGCATAAATGCTCTTTCTCTTTTAAGCAGTCAACACTGTACACACAAACACACACACTCACACATTCTCATTTAACGATTTATGAACTATGGCATAGAAAATGGAAAATTCGTATCCCAAAAATTCTATTTACATTTTCAGAGTTATTTACGTTGTGGCGAGTGCGTCTATGAAATAGCTTTGATTAATGAATCAAATAGATTTCAGACCAGGGAACGTAGCACATTCTAAATATGAGTGTGTATATATAGATATAGATATATGCAATGAAAAACTATCGCAGATTATTGAGGTGTTTATCACACGCAGCTCAAAGCCAATAACAATATACAAAGCACAACAAAGTGTATGCAAAATATAAACAAAGAATAAAAAGCGCGAAAGAGAGCGCAACAGAATAAGAAAATAAATAAATATGACCCACAGTGAGACCAGACGAAACGAACTGATAAGAAAAACTCAATATTGGCAATATGAGCAGCATTTCATTTCGCCTAATTTCACTTGCATAACACCTCTCTTGGCAAAAAAAAAAAAAAATTCAAATAAATAATAATGAAATAATAAACAGTGATTTTTAAGGGTCGTTAACATTCCGCTTAGCCGGTTTAACCTGTACACAGACAACAGATACACAAGAAGAGGCACGAAGATCAATGAATGCGCAAAAAACGGGTCAGCGGCGGTGGTTTGCGGTAGGCAAGAGTTGCATTACGTGGGCGTCACATTAGGGGTGTTCACGCCAGCAGCCGTAAGATGTGCGACGTAAGCGGGGGACGGCGATGCAGTGTCCCCAGCAGCGCTGCAACTGCAGCTATTCTGCTCAGCAATGACCCTGAAGATGTCATATAAATGGCCAGTGGCAAGCGCAGCAGCAGCAGCGGCAGCGGCACCGCCAGCAGCAACACCAGCTCTGAGGGGTGAAATGCGTAGCGAAGAGATGGATTTTTTCAATACACACACGTACAAAAACATACACATATACACATACGCACATACTTTAGCCTCACATACACAAGCGCGCATACACACACGCACACACACACATAAATATTTCACGAATTTATGCAAAATTTTCAGCGCACCGCGCGAATTTTGCACTGGCTGCACAATTTGCTTGTTGTGTTTAGTACTTACGCCGTTTTTGTTTTAATTTGTTGTGATAATTTGTTTATTTATGAAAAAATTCCCGCGTCTTTTGCTTCTATACAGTTTTCTTTTATCTGTGCGTCTGTATTTTTAATTTTCGTATTTTTACATTGATATTTTCACACACTGCAAATATGGGCACACAAATCCTGTTAAAAATCCCAAAACTGCGCACCACGGCATCTGTGTGACCGCGAAGACAACATACAAAATACCAAATCATAAAATGCTAAAAATACTGAACATGAAGATGGGCAAACTGCAACTGTTACCGGCGTGATGGCAACGCTCTCAAAAAAGTGGTTGGTAATTTGAATATATGGCGCCAATTGCTTTACAGCGCAATTCAAATTTATATTCAAATTTTGCAGTTATAACTAACAATGCGAAACTGGGAAACTTCTTTAATTTCTTAGATAAATAGGCGCTGAATGATTGATTAGTAGCATTGTTTGCCTTCATCACAGACTTAGATTTTAGGTCTTTAGCGGAGTGTTGATCACTCAGTCTTACATTTCTAGAGTCTTAGTATGAAGTCGTTCAAACTTACTTTGGCACATACTTACTCATTTGATGTAGTCAATCTATTCGATGTATACTTACTTCATTTGGTGTGGCTGAAAAAAAGAGGAACAAACTCTCCAAAACTTTCAATCCACCCCCCACCCAAAACCTAACGATTTGAATTGTGCTTCCAACAGAGAGGACTTTGTACTAAAACTATTTGAAACTAAATGTTTATTAATAATAATCATAAATTTTATTTGGTTTTCGTTTTCTTTTGTTTTCGACATTCAAATGCTGCTAGGGATGTATATTTTGATTTTATATTTGTATTTAATTGGAATAATTTTGCAATATATATATAAATAGATTTATATACATATATAATGCAGATACTCGTATTGATTAGACGACGAAAGAGTTCTTTAGTTTATAATAATAAAAGACAAATATATATATTATATATATTATATATATATATATATATATATATATATATATATATATATATATATATATATATATATATATATATATTTATATATATAGATATATATATTTATTTATGCATATATTTGAGCATGTTTTGTATATATTTGATTTGTTTTGTTTTGTTTTTTTTTTTTTTGGTAATTGTTATTCATAGAAAATTGTCGAGTGCAGAGTGAAAAAATAATTACATTAAATCTGGTTAAGTGTGGTGCGAGATATATAATTATTATTTTTATTTATTATTGTTATTTTACTATTTTCTTTTATGCAGCAGTTAGCAGAACCCTATATATATATATATATTGATTTGTATATATATAAAAATACGCTCGAAAGAGTTGCGCTTGCCCTTTGAGTTAATCCCAATCTAGATCTGTTTTAGTATATGGTTTAGTATAGCTGTTTAGTATATAGTATATGTTTTTTTTTGTTTTAATATAATTTCATATTTATTACATTTTTGGTACATAAATCTGTGTGTTGTTGTTGTAAATGTTGTTGCTGCAATATTTGTTGAAGAGTTTTTAAAACTAAATAAAATAATAATTATATATATATATATATATATATATATATATATATATATATATATATATATATATATATATATATATATATATATATATATATATATATATATATATATATAGTTATATGCATATATATATACATAACTTAGCAGGTAAAATAATTGGTAAATTATAAACTAAGAAATGTTGAATTTTTTCTTTTATTTTATACATTTTGTGCTTTGGACCGAAATATAATCAATTTTGCTTTAAATTTTAAGAAATAATAATTAATAAACAAAACATTTACATAACTAAAAGGGGCATCAAGGAGCAACATTAATTTAATATTATTAGCTTTGTTGCCTTTGCCTAATTATTATTTTTATTTTAACTTCATTCACTTTTATTCATAAATTTTGTTTATGTAAAGTTTTTTTGTGCCGAAAATATCACATTGATTTTTTTAAATTTTTAAATTTTAATTATTTATTTTTTTTGTTTTTGCCATTATTAATTTCAATAAGTGCCAAACCATAAATTTTGCTTATCACAAAATGTTTAAAATTAATAAAAATTTCTATTAAATATTTTGTAGTTATTTTTTTGTAGTAATTTTTTATTTTGAATTTATGTTTAAGCAGAAATCCAATGAGCTCTAATCGCAGCATTTTACTTAGATAGTTATTAAATTTAGTTTACTTAACAGTTGCTGATATGAATTATTACAAATTTAATATATATTTATATTTTTTTTACTTTTTATTTTTTTATATTTATGTATTTAAGCTTAACGTAAATGTTTAACAAAATTGTGAGGTGGTTCAAGTGGTTCGCATTTAGTCTAACAAAACATAAAAAAAACTTTAACCATACAAAAGTTCAATTAAATTAACGCAGCTAACAAAACACAATTGTTGTTGTTGTTGTTGTTTGTTTGTTATTAAAATAGTTTGCTAATATATAGTTAAAATTATTAAAATTAAGCAATCAATCAACAATAAAACTGAAATGCATTTGAGGTATATCAAAATTTCTTCGTAGTTCTTTGAGTAAACAATGTACTCTGCAAAAATCATATATATATATATCTATATATCTATGTATATATAGTAAAATTAATAAAAATATATCATATATGCATACATATATATGCGTGTGTGTGTGATTGTGTTCGGGTGTGTGTGTATGTGCCAACTAAAGACTAATGTGATAATATATGAGTAGTATACGAGTAGGTGACTGTGCCGGACCTCGGAGGATCCCTTTGACGTGTTTTACAATTCATTTCTTTTTAGGTTTACATTTAGTTTTAGCTATTTATATATGCATATATGTATGTGTATTAGGAAACAACACGCAGAAACCTTCAAAGTTTTTTAATTATATTTTGTTTGTTTAGTAAAGTTTACATCAATGCTAAATACGCGCTAGTTTTCGACTTAAACCTAGTTTAGTAGTGCCCGGTTCTCAGGGGCTACTCAAGTGCAAGCAACCGAAACCGTTGTAGAATCTTTATAGGAAAAGAAAAGGTTCGTTTCTAGAGCTAGTCCATTGATTTCTCATATATGTATATGCTATATCCGCTGCTTCCTCTTCTTTATATTGTAGTTCATATAGTTAGTTCATTTCTCTTCTTGTTTATCTTTTTTTAGCATCTTCGGTTCTATATATTTTGGGTTATTGCTGATTGAGGCTTTCAAAATTTGAAATGTATCAAAGCGACTAAATGCAAGTTATAACAGTTAATCGAAAACTGTTATACGACTGTTATATATGTATATAACTATTTGATCGGTTCAACTCCGAGTCGAACGAAAGACACTTAAACGTTAGTAGGAAAAGACGCGACAAATCAATTTACATGTTGTTTTTGTTGTTGTTGTTGTTGTTGTTGTTGTTGTTGTAGTATTGGTTGTTGTAGTATTGGTTGTTGTTGCTAAATGTTGTCCGCTGTGCACAGCTCCCGCCCCGCCCTTACATCGATGAGTT